TTAAGAGAACGAAAAATTAAGCAATTTTTATGTTTATAAAGGGGCATAACTCAAGAACAGTAAAAGTGACGCCACCCAATTTCAAACTTGATCTGTATTCTGTGGTAATAAGCATTGTGTATAAGTGTCATACCATTTGGTTGAGGTAAACTAAAGTTGGAGAACGGAAACGAAAAATTCAGCAATTTTTATGTTCATAAAGGGACATAACTCAAGAACGGTAGGAGTGATGCCACCTTATTTCAAACCTGATCTGTATTATAATAAGCATTGTGTATAAGTTTCATAACATTTGGTTGAGGCAAACTAAAGTTAGAGAACGGAAACCAGCTTTGGGACGTACATACGGATGCTTGTGTAAAAATTGGAAGGATTGAGATCTATGATATTGCAGCCTACAACAAAATCTATTTATGAGGGTCTGGAAAAAATAAAGAATAGAGAAAAAAAACCTAAAGAAATAAGGAATACAGAAATGAAGGACCCCATCCCCATTCCAGACCCTCATTTATGTAAATGTTAAATCCACTATCAATTAATTTAATCTTTCTCCCCAACACCTCACAAGAGAGTCCTTTTGACAACTTCATTTTTTCTTCTTCAGAAACACTGAAGCTATTTCCTGTCCAGAACCCCTATGAGATTCCAAACAATCTAAAATTAGAACATGAAGGCCATGACCTTTTCACATAGCATGTTTCTATTTTCATTCTGTTTTTATCATTATCATAAATTAGTGCACTACAACATCCTATTTTAATATTCAAGTCAATTTTGGATGTGTCAATGTTTGTTGATTTTTAAAATTTATTGGTTCCATTTCTTGATTACCACAGCAAATTTAAAAGCTTTAAATAACATGCAATGTAATCTATCATTTATTAATGATTGTCTTGACAGCTTATATTTAAGTTGAAATATCAAATGCAATATATATCTCTTGCGAATTGAGCAATAATTACTGTTTACAGAAGTGTAATATTGATAACCAACGGATCTCCCTTCTCCACCTCCGGAGGTACTTAGCACTTTTGAAGTTATATCCATCTTTCATTCACACTTCAACTTTTTTTTGTAAAATCAAGCAAAAATTCTTTTAATCAATAAAAAAACTAGTTTTATAGTTTTTCTTTATTCCTTCTACAAACATTAATTTAATAAAAAAAAAATTAAGATTTTTTTTTTGCAGTGTTGACAAATTCACCCCGCTGAGCCACTATCCAGTACTCTATTCGCAGCTGTTAAGATTTGGATTTTTTTTGTGTTTTGCACTTACAACTGATGTCACTGATTTGTATTGAAATCATATCCCAGTTGAATGGGAACATTTTTTGGTGAGATTCTGTAGGTTAAAAAGTGTAGACACATATTGAAAGGCCACTGGAAGTCACTGCCACTGTCGATTTCACCTGCAAACCTAACAACTGTCATAGAGAGATTTACCTGGTTTGTTTCTATTTCATCCTTGTCCTAAATTTGCCTAAAAGTATATATGACCTATTCTTATAGCTGGTACATTATGAAAAACACCAACTATCAATCAAGATTCTTGTCCTGGATAGCTGATATATTTATTAATGGACCTCAAGCATGTCAAGTCAGACATGCATATGTACTTTTCTTAATGTATTTGATTACATCTGTTCCAGAATTTAACATTATATTTTTTAACTGTTTTACTTTAACTAGTAAAAATTTGCATTCAAATATGGTTTCTGCAATGCATGTTTGTTATATCTATTGTGGATTCATTTATTTTCATGGGTACCAATATTCATTTTCAATTTTCATGGATTGAGGAAAATATTGTATTTTCATGGATATTTGATTTCATTGTTTTGCCAAAAACTGCATATAAACCTAAACAAAATTTGTACTTCGTTGAACCTATAAATTCTTGGTTCACCTGTATCCACAAAATCCACAAAAAAATTGGTATCTAAGGAATAATAATGAATCCACAGTAACTTCAAACACAAATACAAAGGAATGATCTGATTTAGTTTGAATTAGCTCTATATACCAACTTCATATATGGTATATATTCAAATTCATTTAGGGGCCTCAGTGGCCAAGTGGTCTTAGTAGTCGGACTACTGTATCACTAGCCTGTCAACACTGAGGTTGTGGGTTCGAATCCTGCACAGGGCAGGTGCACTCGACTCCAATCTTAAATGACTAGGATTGTCAGTTTTCCTACAGAAGGTCGGGGGGTTTTCTCCGGGCACTCCGGCTTCCTCTACCAATAAAAACTGACCACCACGAAATAGCACAATAGTGTTGAAAGTGGCATTAAACACCAATCATCAATCAAATTCATTTATGGTTATGTGTGTGATCAAAATCACATAGAGATAATTTGTTGACATATCTTAACACTTTCCCTAAATCTATTCTCTTCTCTCTCTCAGTCTACTTTGAGCAGCTAATCCTTGGTACATTACAAAACAACCAATCAAATGGCAGTTTACAGAATAACCTTTTCCTTTTCTTCCTGAACGATTATGTTTTATTATTTCAATTAGAGAAAGAGGATGCAAAAGCTAACTAGGATTGATTTTTATGGTATTACTATGACAGAAAGTTATCAATAACATTACATTTAGCCAATCTAATACACATGAAGGCGTTAAATCTGGAACTAACTATTACGTAAAATGCTTCAATTTATGTGTTTACAAACAATTATTACTTTTTCCTAATGTATGACCTAGGACATGTAGGATCAGCAGTATAAATTTGCCTATTTTGAGTGCTCTTTCAAAGAGGAATCTATAAAAAAAAAAAAATTTCTTTTTTTCATAAATTCATTCCTTAACGCAAGACATTTGCATTGAAGCAATCCATTGGTCCTTTGGTCTCTAATGTATAGTTTCTCATTAGAAATCACACCACATCTCCTTATTTTTACATTATATTGCGAATTACTTAAAGTTCATGCTGTAATCGGTGTTTTACCCCCATGTTCAATTTCTAGCTATGGTGGCCTTGTTGGTTGGTTGAGCCAAACAAAATTAACCAACTTTACATTTATCTCAATTCCCTAAGGATCTATATCAAGGGTTTTTTATATATATAAAATTCGTTCATAACCTTCAGAAAGATCTTTGAAAAAACACTGCCAGTTTACTCATTGTTACTTGTTTTACTAACTAAAATGCAGAATTAGGAAATACAGAGATTATTTAAATAAGAATGATGTTTTGTTTGAATATCTAAACTTTTTCTTCATGACAATCCCCAAAAAATACTAGGATGAATGTTATGTAATAACACTGTCACCTGCCCAAGGATATTTAATAGTTCTGCCTTTTATTTGAAAAAGACTTCCTTAATGTTTTTGTCTTTATTATATAATCTGAAATTTACTACATGTTGTACTACAAAACCTGTGTCAATGATTATTTTACTTCATACTGTACCTGATAATTATCCAGAATGAGGCTAACAAAAATCTTTAAGATGTTGTACTTTTAAAAATTATAAATAAATTAAAAATAAGGATGGGGCTGTTCTGGTAATTACTACAATTGTGTTAGTAAATGTGGTTTTGCAGAAATTTGCATTTCCTTTGCTTAATTAAGTGCACAACTGTTAACGTCACAAGCCTAAATACATATTTCCTCTACGTATATCATATAAGGTGTATCTTTTTTATTTCCTCTTGTCATTACAAACATGTGAAAACATTCACACAGGTTGAAAAAAAGCATCTATCAGTCAATATCCTTGCAATTGAATGTTGAAATGGGGACTTATAAGTACCTAAAGTAAACTACATTAAACGTGTTTAAAATTCTTGTCATCTAATCAAACTCCCCAAAAGAAAAAATACAACACCTACAATGTACCAATCAATTGGATTTGTCTATTTTCTTTCTTTATTAGGCAAGTTCTTGTGGCAAGTTCTTGTCTTTTTATGATTTATGGCTTAAAATTGCATAATTTCCCAGACATTATTAACAAGACAGTCAAAAGTTAAAATAGTTAACATGTAATTTTAGGTCACAATAGTGCCTGCAGGTGTATTACATAGTTGTAGTTATATATATAGGGTTCAAATCATCTCAGAGGATCCAGCAGGATAGGGATACTTTTTCAATAACTGAGGACAAGTTACTACATTTGTACTACTACCCTTAAGGGGGGGGGGGGGGGGGGGGATTTACTGACCTTGACTACCCATGAGGGTCTCCTGTTATGATAAGTTATAGCAACACTAACCTTTGATGAATATGTTTGAGGGTCTTGAAGGGGTATACTGAACAGTCAATAATGGGTAAAAAGTGCAGAATAGAGGACCAATAAACAAAAAAAAGGATAAAGAAAAATAGGCTAAAACAATTAAGAATAAAGATTAATTGAGTGCAAAATATAAAAAATAGAGAATAATGGGCAAAAAAAAGAAGAGAAAATGGACTTAAAAAACAAGAGTAAAGAAATGAGCGACCCCCCATCCAGATAGTCATGTTTATGAGAAAGTAATTCGTACATCACATTTCTGCTTTCCTAATGTATCCTAGCTGCTCTAGATATGATTTTGTTCTGCCTATTCCTATTTTTTTGTATCACCTCATTTATAATTTCCCTAAAAATCATCTAATATTTTTCTTTTTCTTTCATGCTTTTTCTTTATCAAATTTGTACAAACAGTCAGCTTCCAGTTCTCACATTTACTCTCCTGTGTATTTGTATGAGTAACCCCCACCATAGCCCCATCATTACTTGCACACTGTAGGACATATTATTAATATGTTTTACAGATTTATGCACCTCATGCACACAACTGGAAAAATATAAACCCTTCGACTCAAGGAACACACCTCACATTCTTTATGCAAGTATTAATAGACCTTCAAGGTCTATTCAAGGTCTGTTATGGTCAATTTATTTCTAAATCTGTATATATGGTACCTACTTTTTCAGGCATGTCATTTATGCTAACACTTATACAAAATTGTATTGATAACATTCAAGTTTATTTTGAAGCATGGCATTACCTTTTTCTTCGCTATTTTTCAAACTATCCAGATCTGTATAAATTAATTCTTCTTCGTTATTTTGTGACAAATGTGTTGGTTCATCCACCCAAACCATTCTATCAGATTTACACATTACAGGATATGTCGGATAAATGACCGTTCGGACATTATTCACGCTTCAAATGTTTCATTTTGTCAGTTTGTCTTGATGTCAGATTTTAATGTTTAAAATCCACCTATAATTCAGAATTCAGCCAAGCATAGAAGACACAGCTCACAAGCCAATATTCATAAATTTACATTCCAAATTGCATTAAATAAAAGATTTTTGTTCACCACAATGTCAAAATATTTATCTAAAACAGATATATAATCCTTCAACAACAATTTTTACATGAAATATAAAGTATCAGATGTCCTACAGATATTCAGCACAAAAGTACACTGTCACATGTACAGAGATATATATATATATATCTTGTAAACAAGACCACATAGTCTACACACTCTCCTTCACTGAATAAATTAATAGATCAATATTACACCCTATTCTTTCCAATGTCAAATGATTCCACCATTTATTTTTTGTCACTTTGTAATAATGTCAAGTATTATTTGTAAAGATATCAATAATTCAAGATTGCATGTGTATGTGTCGTACAAATCTAAATAATAAACCTTGAGTTGAAGGTCAAGGGGAAAACATGGCTTCCATGCTATGTAGCTTGCACAGAGGCTCAAAACAGGGCAAACAGGGACAGCTAAATAATATTGCTAGGGACTGACATGAACAAGATAAATTAATACAGACAATTCTAAATGACTAATAGGTGCAATATACTTTAAATTTCACTCCTTATTAGAAACTAAGGTTCTGCTGGCATTAATATATATTTTGTACGATTCTTATCTTACCAAAATAGTAAGTTCAATAAGATTTAAGAAAAGATATATACATTATTAGCTTGGTGATCAGACGTGGAACCAGGATTTTGAAAAAGGGGGGCCTGTGGGCCCCAAACTTGACAAAGTTTAGTGTAGAACCGGTAAAAAGTCTGGATTAACCATAAATGTAGCTCCATAAGGGTTGGGGGCCAGGCACCTTGCCCCCACTCCGCTAAATCTGCCTCTGGTGATTGTACCTTAGTCCCATCCAAACTTTAACAAATATTTTACTTTGCTATCATACTTCCATTGACAGAGAATTATAGTTGATCTTCAGAACACATATAAGCACCCCCCTTTTTTTTCAAAAGAAAACATCTACTTGTTTAATAATAGTATGCCAAAGAACCAACCATGTTTATAGTATAGTATATAAGTTCTAAATCATAGGATGTTGGCTTAGAAAGAGATGTATAAGCCATAAATATATCATGGTCATTTGGAAAAATGAAGTCACTCAAAAAAAAAAGAAAAATGGGCTAAATTAGAACTTGACCTGAATTGTTCTTTTGAAATATCAATTAAATGGCATAGCTCTAATATGAAATATGTAATTTGTGACAAATTCAGACTACCTTTGAAAGAACAATGGGTGTGAAAATGCAATATTTGTATTATTAAGAAACTCATTATAATCAATCAAAGATATTTGTTGGGAAAAATCCAGAATAGGCCATTAATGTAGAAAATGCAGTCAAGATATATCATAAACCTGACTACTGTATACATAATTCCAAATTACACAGGTAAAGTGTAGTCATATAACCACATGTTGACCGATAGTGACCTCTCGACCATTACCCCTTATCCATATATATATTCTGAACTTAAGACCTATTTAAGTAAATAAATAAGTAGAATTAAAAGTTCAGGACAAATTTTGGGATAACATGATCATGACTGTTAGTAATTCATGGGGTCATTCTGACTAAAGAAAATTTTCAAACTCAAGGGTCATCTCTTATATAGTTAAGACTTACCAGCGTGCAATTAATTATATTCTTATTTGCAAACCCAACATATAAAAATAAGAAGATGTGGTATGATTGCCAATGAGGCAACTCTTTAACAGAGACCAAATGACATAGAAGTTAACAATTATAGGTCACCATTTGCATTTTTTATTCAATAACTTTGAGTTCTATAGGTGATGAAAAAAGTTAATTTTGACGTAATTAAAACATACAATTATGTTGGAAATAAAAGGTCCAAATGAAAAAAAAAGTTACAGAATTATTTCAGGCAAAAAAATTTCAGTTACTGGTCTTTAATTAACATCTAGATACTTATTTAGTTGCTATCTGTTATTGGTTGGTTCCTTTTTACATGATTAAGTTCCAGTACTGATTAATAGGGCAGATGATTTAATCTAGGTAGAAACAAAATAATTCAAAATGTATAAAAAACAATATCTAAGAAAAAGGGCACGGTTTCTCAAAAGTGTATTTTTTAACTTTTAATTTTTATCTTATGAAGGACCAAAAGACATGGGTTGTCTCTTTGACACATTCCCCGTTTCCTTTCTCAATTTTAAGATAAATCATTTCATGTACATATGTATATATGCATATTTAAAATTGCTGTAAGTAATTCCTATCTTTCAAGGGAGACAAAAATGTAAAAAAAATAGAGAATTATACTATTCGAGGTTGTATTGGCGGGCAGCCACTTTTTTTGGGGGTGGAGGAAGTCGGAGTTCAAAGAGAGAACTAACAACCTTCATAAAAGATGACAGACCTGAACATATAAAAGAAACCTAGTGAAGACAATTGAAAACAGGAACCATATTTTTGGAAAACAAGAGGCTCTCAAGAGCCTGACTCGCTCACCTGTAATTTTTTGCTTAAATCTTTCATCAATGATTATTTTTGCTTTTCAATATATATTAATGAATGGCTTAAAACTTTCATTGAAATGTTCTTTGTATTTGTCATATTGTCTTCAAAATCAAAGAAATGCATTTTACCCCTATGTTTCATTTTAGCCATAGTGGCTATGTTTCTTGACGTACAAGAAAAGTAAAATACAAAATTTATACTAGATACTCTGAAACTCATTCAGCCCAAGTTTGGCTGAAATTGATTCAGCAGTTTCAAAGGAGAAGATTTTTTAAAGTAAGCAAACTAAATGAACAAATTGTGAAAAATTGATTTTAAAGGGCAATAACTCCTTAAGGGGACAATTGACAATTTTGGTCATTGAACTTAATTGTAGATCTTACTTTGCTGAACATTTTTGCTGTTTACAGTTTATCTTTATCATTAATAGTATTCAAGAAAATAACAAAAATCTGCAAAATTTCCTTAAAATTACCAATTAAGTGGCTGGGTTGTTAGATTCATCTGAAAATTTCAGGGCTGACAGAGTCCTCCGGAACGGTGAGCTAAATAGACAGGAGAGAAGATCATAAAGTTATAAACATTCCAACATTTTTTACCCAGAAAAATATGAAGGCTTAGTGTCCAGTTACAGTGTCTATACCCCTTTAAAAAAATGCCAAAATACTTACATTTACCCATGACTGAGGAATAGTGACCAGACCCTAGAAAGGATTCATAATGTTGGCCATGCATTGCTGTGATGTGACAGAGTCAGCAGGAGTTACAGCCCCTGTCGTCATGCTGGAACACAAATATCTTGGAAATTATTTTGTGCCAGTGTAAGGTGTTTCTCTTTCAACCAGAAATCTGAAAAATATGAAAAACAAAATTTGATGATGTGATATTTATTGAGAATTTTTATACATCTTTTTGTATCAACTATTTGTCTGTCTGATTGATTGGTGTTAATTGCCACTTTCAACACTATTGTGCTATTTGTGGAGCTCAGTTTTTATTGGTGGAGGAAGACAAAGTGTCAGAGAGAAACAACAAAACTTTGGTTTGAAAACTGATGACAATATTAGTCAATTGAGATTGGAGTTGAGTGAACGAACCTGTCAAGTGTAGGACCTCACAACCTCAGTGTTGACAGGTTAGTGATATAGTAGTTCAACTACTTAGACCACTTGGCCACCAAGGCCCCTTGTCTGTCTGAAATTACTGATAAGCAATTTAAAAAAATTTTACAACTGTTAAGACTTTTAAATTTGACATACTGTGGATTCATTATTTTTCGTTGGTTACAGTTTTAGTGGATTTCGTGGGTATAGGTTAACCACCTATTCAAATGTTCAACATCTACAAATTTTCTTAAGGCTTAAATTCATACTTTGGCAAAACCACGAAATTATGATTTTTCCTCAAACCACGAAAAATCATTATCAACGAAAATAAATAAATCCTCAGTAGTATGTACTTATCCGTTGTTAAAGAATTGTATGCTCACTTTTAGATATCTTTTGGGTAATTTTTGTGTAGTTAGGTTGCTGTCTCATTGATGTGTACCCCACATTTTTTTATTCATATAAGTATTTGATATTTTCTTTTTGAACTATATAACCTTGACTAATAATCTTTTATTTCTTCCAAACATTATATCTCGATCATTTTAATAATGATTCTATATGTAATGCTCAAATATATTCCTACTTGACTCCCATTTTTAAGGTGAAAACAGCTAGAAAATCATACTTTCAGAGTTAACACTTAATGGGGCATTAGCAAGCCGAGACTGTGACAAAATGTGAAAAAAAAGGGAAAATGATCCAATTTCAGAAGCCTGATATATGCTTAAAACAATAAACAAACATTGTTCTTATGTTGTACTGTTAAACCACTGTTCCAGGTTAGGAGGAGGGTTGAGCCCTCATAAACATGTTTAACCGCACCACATTCTTCATGTGCCTGTCCCACATCAGGGCCTATAGTTCAGTGGTTGTCGTTTGTTCATGTCTGTCATATTTGTTTTTCGTAAATTGTTTTGTTATAAATTAGGCCGTTAGTTTTTTCAATTGAATTGTTTCATATTTTTCATGTTGGGACCTTTTATAGCTGACCATACGGTATGGGTTTTTCAAATTGTTGAAGGCCATGCGGTTGCCTATAATTGCTTACATCCACTTCATTTGAACTTTGGTGGATAGCTGTCTCATTGGCAATCATACCACATCTCCTTTATTTTTAAATGGACGATAGCTGAACCAATGACAAACATTAGATTACAGTGTACTGACTTCGGCCATGTAAATAAAGACTGTGGCAGGTTTGAGCATGCTTGTGAGTGTTCAACCCTCTCTCAAACCTAGGACAGTGGTGAAAGGTTGATGCCAATAAAGACAATATTCAGAGATCTTGTTACATATGTTTAATTATAACCTTTAAGAATAAGTTTATTCAAAGAATCAATAAATTTACATGGATCGTATCTAAATTTACAGGCTCTATAAACAACATCACCTTAAAAACTTGTTTGTAATAAGGTTTCTACAGGTAGAAGTAAACTCGTAAACCAAACTTTGTATCTATGAAAGAATTAATTTATATCTGTTTGGTTTTTTTTTAAATCACAGATTCAACTTTTTGGATGAACATGATTTGAGGGCTTGGAGCAATTCTGTTTGCTCTTTTAGAGAAAAGTAGACAAATAAGTTTAAGTAAGTGCATAAATAAAGATTTAATAAACAGCTTTTCCATTATAAGTGTATGAACTTAAGTCGCTGAAATTGTAAAATCCTCCTTTTCCTTGAATTTCAAAAGGAAAATCAATTTTTATAACTCTTTTCTTTAATATATAAAGTAAATGTTTCGTACACACCCAGGAAAGCAAACAAGTTATGGTATAAAATATGACTAAGAGAA